GTGGCGCGTCTCAAGGGCATCCTCAACAAGATCACGCCGAGCAACATCGAGAAGCACATTGAGAACATCCGCCAGCTGGAGTTCAACACGGACGAGCGGCTCGGGAAGATGATTAATGTGCTGTTCGACAAGGCAGTGAACGAGCCGGCGTACGCCAGCCAGTACGCGGCAGTGTGTCTGGCCATGACCAAACCCCCGGTAAGTGGACGGCGCTGGGAAGGTTCGACGGGGAGGGGGGGGGGGCACAGAGGGTGGCGTGCGGAGGCGTGGGAATATGAGGAAGGAATAAGGGCGGTGAGGGGTATCGACTAAGCTATCAGCCTGAGATGACAGGGGAGGTGCCTGCTAAATGATTAATCCAGAATTACGTCGTTAACATTTTGTAAGGACTGTTTTCTTCGATCTGGACGGGCCATTTACTTTACTATAATTGTATATTGTATAGGCGCTGTGTCCTGGCTATTCGCGGACAGAACCCGCGTATCCGGCGCTGGCCGATCGGATCTGGCCTCTGTAACACCCGCGTCCGTCCTCCCCGTCTGTCGACAGGCGGGCAGCGAAGACGAGAGCAAGAAGGCCATGTCCATGTTCCGCAAGCTGCTGCTGACACAGTGCCAGCGCGAGTTCGAGAAGGACAAGTCGCTGGAGCTGAACCTGGGCGAGCGGCAGCGAGAGATCGAGGCACAGACGGACCCGGTGGAGCGGCGAGCCAAAGAGCGCGCACTGGAGGAGGCGCAACGCCAGGGCCGCCTGCGCTCTAATGGAAACATCCGCTTCATCGGCGAGCTCTACAAGCTGAGCATGCTGACAGACCGTATCATGCAGCAGTGCATCACCAAACTGCTCAAGGACCGGCACGAGGACTCATACGAGTGCATGTGTAAACTGGTCTCTACAATAGGGCAGAAGCTGGAGGTGGCGGAGAAAAAACAAGGCCGCGACTTGGGCAAGATGTTCGCTGAGTTCGAGCGACTGTCGGTGGATAAGAAGCTCTCGTCTCGGATCCGATTCATGTTGCGTGACCTGATCGAGCTGCGTGCCAACCATTGGGTGCCGACGCGCACCACGGCTCAGCCGCGACCTATGACCATCGAGGAGGTGCACGAACAGGCGCGCCTGGCAGAGGCCAAGCAGCAGGCGGCGCTGGCGCAGGCCGAGGACCGGCGGCGCAGCGAGCGGCGGCGCGGCGGCGGCGGACGCGACGCGCCGCGGCCCGGCGGCGACGGCTGGAACACGGTCGGCCGCAACTCGCGGTACGACGCCAGCCGTATGATGAGCGCCGTTAGCGCCACGGCCGCCGCGCCGCCGCCGGCGCAGCTCAAACTGGGCCCCGGCGGCGGCAGCGGCTGGGGACTCGGTGCCAAGGGCGCCTCGCCCCGGCGGGCCTCTCCCGCCACCACCCCCGGCTCCGGCGCTAACCGGTTCCAGGCACTGCGGGCCGAGGCGCGCAGCCGAAGCCGCGGCGGCTCGGCAGAGCGCTCCGGGAGCAGGAACAGCTCTGCGGATCGGGCGCCACCGCCACCGGCCGCCGCCGCCTCCCGGCTCAAGGGCCCCGCGGACGCGGACGCGGACTATCTGAAGCGGCAGGCGCGAGCCATCGTCGGCGAGTTCCTAGAGAATGGGGATGAGGAGGTGAGTGCGCTGCCGGGGACTGATTGGTGGGCGCAGCGTTGGCAGATTTCCCAATAAGGCACGAACAAATCGACTTTTCTTAAGATTCTAGGGTCTGCTATCGTTCAGTTTTGCCAATAGTTACCTACGCGCTGATACTGAAAAATTGAATTTGCTGTCTCTCCGTACTTAGTGCCCTAAATTGTGAGCTATGATTTGATCTGACATTTATTCCTTTGGTAGTCTGGTGGGGCGGTCCGTTGTAAATGTGTTCTCTGGTGACCCAGCTATCTAACTCCCGCCTGTCCCTGTGTCCACAGTCGGCAATTGTCGACTGCGAGGGTCACCTGCACGACAGCACCTTGGCCGACTTCGTCACCCAGTCGCTGGAGGCGTTTGTGGACGCCCGCTCGGCTCGCGAGCGTCAGGCGGCCGGCCGGCTACACGCGCTGCTGCTCCAGCGCGGTCTGCTGCCCGTGGCGGCGTACGTGAGCGGCGCCCGCCAGCTGCTAGACGTGTCTGCCGACCTAGCCACGGACGTGCCGGCCGTGTGGACCAACCTGGCGCAGCTGATGACGCCGCCGCTGCTGGCGCCCGGCGCCGGCCTCTCGCTGTCGGCGCTGGCGGCCGCCGCGCACTGCTGCGTCCAGGACGGCGGCGGCGTCAAGCTGACGGTGGCCCTGCTGCGCCAGCTGCGGGCCGAGGACGAACAGCGCGCCCGGGAGCTGGTGCCGGCTGGATTCAACTGGCAGCGGCTGCTCGGCGACCGCGAGCCGCTCGCAGTGCTCAAAGAGGTGGGTGCGAGACGTGAGAGACTCAGAACAACTGAATGGCGTGTTGAAGTTGGAGAACTGCTGTTCCTACCTTTCATAATATCGGTCGTCGGCCTGTGGTTACGTTGATCTCGGCTCTGGCACGCGTCTGCCTCTGCTCTGCGGTCATATTGGGACCAATTAAATGGCCAGATTGCTAGCGTGATCCGTTGAAGTCCACAATTCTCAAAGTTCTGAGCAGAGTGCCCCGATATCGGTTGTCTACTCCGTCTCATGTGTGATCTCTTCGTTCTTTGCGACCTGACCAGTGACCGTTCCCACCCGCAGGCTGACCTCGAGTGTCCTCTGTCGAGTCTGTATCTCTCCCTGTGACCTGACCTGTGACCCGTCCCACCCGCAGGCTGACCTCGAGTGCCTTGTATCGGGCGACCCGTCGCCGCTGCCGGCCGACCGGGCGCCTCCGGTGCCGGGTCTGCGCGCCCTTCTGGACGCCATCCGCTCAGACGTACCCCTGGCCCGGTGGCTGGAGCTCAACTGCCCGCAGCCGGAGAAACGGCAGCACCCGAGCTTCGTGGCCGACCTGGTGGCCGCTGTCTGCTTCGACGCCCTGATCGCAGGTCAGCCGAGCGTGGGGGGCCGAACGGGCAGGAGTGGGGGATATTTATTGGGGATGACATGATGAGTGCAAAGAAGTGATTCCACGGTAATCGTGCGATGCTGACAGCAGCAAGGAGTAGTAGTAGTTATTCGATTGTGGCGCTTACTTAGTAACAGTCCTACGCCAAAGACATGGTGATAGTCGCCTGCTTGAACCAGTCTATTTTTCTTGAGTTTAATCCATGAATAACTATTATATAGTCTGCGACTGCATGAGACTGTATTATTTTTGCAGTGGGCGCCCTAGCCTGACCCTCCCCTCCCCCTCAGAGTCTGGCGTGTTGCGTTTTGCACGGATCACTGACCCTCCCCTCCCCTCAGAGTCTGGCGCGCTGCGGGTGGCGTCGGAGCGCATTGAACGCTACTGTGACCTGTTGCGACCGGTGCTGGAGCCGGCCGAGCGACAGGAGGCGGCTGTGCGCGCCGCTGCCGATCTGGTGCGACACCTCGACTGTAGCACAGGTACGACTCAGCTGGACGGCCAAGTGCGGGCTAGATATAGTGGTGAGCCTTGGGAAACACCGCCAGACGCTGTACGTGTTACAGTGGTGGCCTGATCACAGGGACTCATCTGTCTGGTTGCAACTATCCTGAAATTAATTTAGGTGCCGACCTGCAATGATGGCTGTGTACTCTCCAGTCAGTGTTCTGCTCTAACCACAGCCAGTGAGCCTCGTTTGGCTGTCAGTTGCGTTGTGTTTGTCCTGTGGATGCCTGTCGCCTGTGTTTTGGGTCTTTCCTGCAGTCGGCGGACGGCTGCGTTGTGTTAAGTGTCTGTCCTGCGGCGGGCTAGCTATGCTGGCGGTGCTGAATGCACTAACCACTGACTGCTGACCGCTGACCGCTGACTGCTGACCCCGCTGACTGTTGACCGCTCTGTTCCCAGACGTGCTGGAGCAGCTGCTGGAGCGGCTGCTGACGCTGCGGCTGGTCTCTGAGCCGGCGCTGCGCCACTGGCGGGAGGCGGCCGGCGGCGACCCGATCGTGCCACCTCTGCGCTTCCTGCAGCCGTGACCGGCGCATGACGGATAGCCTAATGGGGGGGGGGGGGACGGCCAGCTCCACTGCCGCCGACTGTACAGATAATCGGCCGGGCCGACCTGACGGGAACGATGACTGCCTCCACTGCAGGGCCGGGCCGAGAGAGAGAGAAAGGAGCTACACAGAGAGCTATTTAAACGCAGATAGGGTGAATTTATCTGGGCGTGACCCCGCGCTGGCCTCGCACGGAGACCGGCCGGGCGGAGAGGAGAGGTAGGAAGTCCAGAGAGTGAGTGCCTGCTCCGCGCGTCTAACGGGTGTCGAGCCAGAGCCGGAGGCTGCCAGCGGCCCTCTGCTGGCCAGATCGCGCCGCTTTATATTATGAAACAAAGGATATTTTAATATAAAAATAAAGTGGTCATGTCTGCTTTTGTGCTGATGGACGGAATGGAGATGATATAAAGATAGAAAATGCAGCACGAAAGACTTCGTTTACACTTAACACAGTTGTTGCGACTGGTCACTAGCGGCGGAACACCTTCAATTAAGGGGGGGGGGGGGGCACTAACGACTTTTGGCCCCATTCTTTCCACGCAACGGCCGTAGGGATAATGTTAAAATGCCAAAATCAAAGGGGGGCACGGTGCCCCGGTGCCGTCCCGTTCCACCGCCTATGCGACTGGTGGCTGAAGTAAGCTGAAACTGAGCGAGTGCGTGCCTTGGGCGGTAACTTGCGCCTGCGGATATTTCTATCGCGGTCATCCCAAGCTGGATTATATGTAAGCAAGCTGAGGTGTTGGATTTGATAGTGAACCAAGGGCTTAGTTACAAACAAAGAATGTCTTATCTACACTTCTCATTGTTAGTAATCGTATGAGCGGAGCGACAATGGAATGGTATGGTAATTTGCAGCTTGTTAAATGATATTCATAAATATGCAGTGATTTAGCACATCGTTGAATTCGCAGACATTTGCTGCTCAGCCGTTACATATCCGGCTCGGTCACGCTGCCGGGCAAGTTTGTGTGTAGTTCTAGTTGGAACTGGAAGTGTTGGAAGCTTTATAAATTTTATTTCTTAGATAAATATACACCTGATTTTAAGCGAAGGTCATAGGTAAGTATTGTCAAGTACTTTTCTTTTGTTTTAGGTCTTTGTTTTGTTGCGATGTTGATTAGGTGTGTAGGGACAAGCCTGCACGGAAAGGTGTCGACTGGGTTAGGGTAGTCGACAGTCTGTTGCTTGCTCGTGGTTTTTGGATTATGCTTGAGTCCATTAATGGGTATTTTAGCCTACATTACATTCTCAGTTTGATTTAATATGTAGTTCAATACCATTTCAAACAGCATGCTGCCAGTTCCCACACCCATGTGTAAGTCCCGCAGGGGTCTGTGCTGGCACCCTCACTGTTTTTACTCTTTATGAATGACCTGCCTAACTGTAACGTCCTAAACTACAGTGTCAAGCAGTAGCGGCGGAACACCTTCAATTTGAATTAAGGGTGCAGTTGCACTGCCGACTGTTGGTCCCATTCTTTCCATCAACGCCCATAGGGTTAATGTTAAAATGCCAAAGTCAAAGGGGGGTATGGTGCCCCCCGTTCCACTGCCTGTGGCGCCAAGGTCTTTGCCGATGATAGCAAGCTCTATCAGGCTGTTTGTGACCTAAAGGATGCGCTAGCTCTCCAAGTGAACCTGGACGCTGCTTCACGGTGGGGCGACGAGTGGCAGTTGCAGCTCAACTACAGGAAGTGAAGTGGGTATTTATTTACTTTAGGTCCGCAAAACAGACGGATAAATGAAAGCCATTCACAAGATATTCTAAGACCTCCTGATTTCATTTCTTATACTTGTTCCTTCTAGAAACCAATTCAAAGGCACCAGTACACTATTTGATATTTACAATCACCACCAACTTATCCCTCTCACCTCCGACCGGAACTGCGTGTCAAAAGACAGTCCAAGGTTGAGCGAATTTACGAATGATGCTAAGTTGTTAAAGAAATGACGTCATAAGATCCAGTGCGGTCATTGCCACAAATTCCAGCTTTTTTCACTGTGACTGGCATATAAGGGGGACATGCAGAGCCCAGAGGAACCTCTGTCAGACAGCTTTTGCAGTCTGGAAGAGAGGCACGGCCTCATGCGTGACACCTGGCAGCACTCCCGCAGTGCGTTGTGTGGGTTTAATTAGGCTCAGCTGCTAGGCACAGACAGTGTTGTCGATGATTCAACACTCGACAGAGGCACCGGGACCGGGGCCATCATCATGTGGCCGAATGGAGGGGAGTGCTCGATCCTCACCCCAGCTGGCCGCCTGTGCTCCAGTTTCCGAGCTGAGATGGTCGCCCTCCGGGCCGCACTCTCCTACCTGCTGGGGAACCCACTGCATGTTGAAGACTTCATCGTCGTCTGCACCGACTTTCAGTCGATGCCTGGTTGCTACCTACAGGACCATCTAGAGCTCTTCAGCTCGGCCTTTGAGGCCGAGGGTCAGGGAGCAAATAACAACAACAATAACAACAATAAATGTTAAGAATTGCGAGACAAATTTATGTGATAATGTATGTTGAAAAGTTCTTTCTTTTTCAGATTCTGTTTAATAAGAATGGGGAAGAAATGGAGAAATAAGAAGAAACCCCAGAATGGGAATTCTGGGAAAGTTGATGAGGTAAGTGCTTCATTGCTTCACAATTTTATGTGTAGAACACTCAGCGCTTCACAAACGTCTTTATTTGAGTTGATATAAATACTGGGTACACAGTTATTTCAGCTGTTACTCATAGTCGCAAAACAATTATAAGCCAACATTTTCCTTTCTTCCTAGGTCAGTCATTTCACAGTTCGGTGCTGGCATCATTTGACTGACAGTTTTCCACTGAACTGCAGTATCAGCTTGTTATCATTGTTCCCTCATCCTATTTCAGGGAGGACGTACCATTCGAGGAACCGGATATATGATCATTTTCCCCTCGTCCCTTTTCAGATAGGGCATCCCATTGGAGGAGCTGGCTATATAATAATTGTCCCCTCGTCCCATTTCAGGGAGGACGTCCCATTCGAGGAGCCGGATATGAAGATATCGTCAAGGAAAACAAAATGTTCGAGGAGTTCTACAAGGTACTTGCTTTTCAGATAGATATTCTTTTCATTAATGAATCAGTAGCTAACACACTTATAATATTAATGTCTAACTAGGGTAGATTTGGTAACATATTGTTAAGTAGGTAGCGACAGTTAATGCTCTGCAGCGGGGATCATGATTGGCATGGATGTTTCTAATTCAATTATATCATATATTCCTGATAGCTTTTTGAGTTGAACTGCTATATGCATTGTTTCTATGTGACATAATCTGACACGAGGTGGTATAGGTGATTAACCATTCCTACTGTTAAGTGCAGGCGCTCATGTTTGACGTAACTAGCCTCCCATGACACCTGTTGTGTGTCACACTGACCCGGGCCCCACCCGACCGTACAGAAGCAGGGCATCGTGCCGGAGGCCGAGTGGGGCAGCTTCATGGAGACGCTGCGGGAGCCGCTGCCTGCCTCGTTCCGCGTCACGGGCACCCGCTCCCAGTCACAGGCCCTGCTGGCCATCGTCCAGGAGGACTTCCTCAAGGTGAGGACGCCGGCGGGGTCACAGCCACCGACAGAGCCGCTCGGCGGCACGGGGCGCTGTGTGGCTGCTGAGTGCCGGGTGGACGCGAGGCCTGTGTACTGTCTGAGAAATGCTGTGAAGGGCACTCATCGACGTTGCCTGGAATGACAGTGCTGCCAGGAGCGCTGTCATTCAAATACTATGACTCCTGGAGATTAACGGAAATGCTTGCATTCGCGTGCTTGATCACAGCGCTGTTCAATCAACTTCAAACTCATCTTTCTCTTTTTCCTCATGTTCCCAGATCGTTCCTTTGACCTGCTACTGTAAACCCGTGTGACTTGTGGCCATGGGACCTCCGGTGTCCTCAAACTGCCCTGTGACCTCTGACCTGTGACGACCTTTGTCTCCCGCTCTGTCAGATGGTGGAGAAGAAGGACGGTGCCGAGGCGGAGGAGGTGCGTCACGTCTGCCTTCCCTGGTACCCGGACCGACTGGCCTATCAGCTCAACCTCACTCGCATGGACATCAGGTACGAGCCGGCTCAAGCTCACATCTCAACCCCAGAGTCAACCTCGTTACCAGAGGTCGTGACCAGAGGTCGACCTCTGGTCACTGGTCATGATCGTGACCAGTGACCAGAGGTCCAGAAATACCTAGCTAGGGTGAATCGACAAAAACAAATTTATATACGGTAGTAAAGTATCTTGCACCAACTCCTAGCGCGAGCGTACAGCTTTTCGGTATAATTTTTTTCTTGAATTGTTACGGTAGTTTTCGAGTGGGTGTCTGGTGCGAGGAGTCAAGTAAATCGAATATGTCCAGGCATAGACCTCTGTATACAGAGGTCTATGGTCCAGGCGGGTATTTTAGTTCGAGAAGGTTCTAGCCTAATACACGGCCTTTGTTTCTCCATCTCCTCTTCAGACCATCATTATAACCTGGAGACCGATAACCCCCCGTCCCCTCCCGCCTCCGGCAGGAAGTCGGAGGCGTACCACAAGCTGCACAACTTCCTGATCTCGGAGACCGAGAGCGGCAACATTAGCCGCCAGGAGACCGTCTCCATGATTCCACCGCTGGTGCTCGATGTTCAGCCCCACCACAAGGTCGGTACGCCGAGCGGCGCGACGGGCTAGTCTATTGAGAGAGGGGGAGCGGGCCATTGTCGGGTCACTGGGTGGGTGAGAGGGCACCCGTGCGGTAGACAATTCGCTTACGATTTGGTCTGCTCAAAGACAGGGTGGATTTGGTTATGCTTTGCATTTGAGGTTAGGCCCCTTTGCGGCCACGCCCAAATGAACAGTGAACATGCGTCTTACTGGTAGCACTCAAAAGCCGTGGCTACATAGGAATTTTGGGACGGACTCTCCAGACTAGTCAGCTGCTGACCGCTCGCCCGTCTGGCAGCCCACGCCAGCCGTCTGCACGGGTCTGTCAGTCGTGTGTACGGGTCAGCCGTCTGTACGGCTCTCTGCCGTCCGTCAGTACGTTTTCTCATACCTCTGACCTCTGTCGTCTGTCTCAGGTACTGGACATGTGCGCGGCGCCCGGCTCCAAGACGGCCCAGCTGATCGAGGCCCTCCACCGCGAGGAGGGCACCATGCCCGCCGGCATGGTGGTGGCCAACGACGCCGACAACAAGCGCTGCTACATGCTCGTCCACCAGGCCAAGCGCATGCAGAGCCCCTGCTTCTGCATCACCAACCACGACGCGGCCAACATGCCCACCATGCGCGCCGCCGACGGTGGGTGGGAGGGTTGCAGGGCTGGTGGGTGGTGGGCCGGGCGGAGCCGAATGGCGGTGGGTGGAGGGTCGCGGTGCTGGTGGGTGGTGGGCCGGGAGGACCAATGGTAGGTGGGTGGACCCCATTGGGCAGGCATGGCTGGTGTCTCTCTGTCCCTGACGCTGTGTTCAGTATGTGTGTGAGGGGTGGCCGGCTTGTTGGCTCGGTATCATTCAAATTCGGCTGAATGGGCCCACGACACTGCGTTTTAATTCCTTCTCTTGACTAAAGTCGAAGTTTATCCAAGAATCTGATTTTCAAACCATGTATCTGTGCGGTCTTGTCACCGCCGCCATCCCTGTCCCTCCTCTGTTACTCCTTCCACCCGTGAGTTGCCCCTCCCTGATGTGTATCTGCCACCCTTCCCTCCCATGCTACCCCTTTGCCACCTCTGACCTCTTTCACCACCGCAGGCTCCCGACTGCTGTTTGACCGGATCCTCTGCGACGTGCCGTGCTCCGGGGACGGCACCATGCGTAAAAACGCCGACGTCTGGCCCAAGTGGAACCCGGCCAATGGCTCCAACCTGCACGGGTGAGTGGGTGGGGCTAGGTCGGGGCAGTCGCTACCCAAGGGACAGAGAAAACTTAAACCAGGGCTGGACGGGGTACGACGGATCACCGACGGATCATTGCTGTGTGGGTGGGTGTGGGGGCGGGGGTAGATCGAGTCAGATTAGATCCTGACGACCCGGGTCAGGTCGGACTGGAGTGCTTATTCTGGCTATGACGTGCGCTGAGTCAGAGGATATTGACGTCTGATTTAATTATTTTCTATTGCGGTAGCTGTTACTCGGGTGTGACTGGCCGCAGTGATATGTCGTCCGCAGACGCTGCGTTGCTCCACTGTATGACGCTGTGGTCACTGTGAGCTCTGTTCTCCCCAGGCTTCAGTACAACATCGCGATGCGCGGTCTGGAGCTGCTAGCAGAGGGCGGCCGGCTAGTGTACTCGACGTGCTCTCTGAACCCCATCGAGGACGAGGCCGTGGTCAGTCGACTGCTGGCAGATACCAAAGGTACGGAACGGCATGGGGATGTACGCGGTACGGGTCGGGAGGGGTTACGGGTCGATAGAGAGGTACGGATACACAGTGGTACGGGTCGTGTCTGATGGTACGGACGGTTAAGGCCGATAGTCGCCGATATAAACGACATATGGTGACTGATAACTGACACTTCCGAGTCCCGTACGACACAAACAAATCTCTGGAATCTGGTCTGACACAGGTAGACCTCGCTTACGCGCTGTTTCCTAAGCACTCTTGGAGCACGTCACTCGTGTGTCATTAACGTAACATTTGTTTGTTTTACCTACCCCTTTCCCCAAGATGAATGTCTCACCTTGTTCGTTTGCGGCGTGGCTTCAGTCAGTCGTGACCGCAGAGATCGGTGTTTCCCTGTTGTGCTAGCGGAGTAAAGAATACCCTTGCGGTCTATTCAACCGGATCATGTCGACTCCTACCCAACCACGCGTCTCGTATCATCCCCACCAGTCTGACTGTATCTTCCTCTCCCCTGACTGGCAATCAGGTGCTGTGAGACTGGTCGATGTGGCCGCCGACCTGCCCGGACTCAAGTTTAGTCCCGGCCTCACCAGCTGGGTCAACTTCTCAAAGGTGAGGGCACGGTCCGACGATGCTCGGGTGGGGGCAGAGTGCTGCAGGCCTGGCCGTTAGAGTATCGACTGTGTTGGGAGCACACTGGGACGGGCTATGGGCTGGGCGTTGGTAACTGTAGTTATCACTTTATAGACCCTGGTTGGTGAGAAGTTGGGTGTTTCTCTTTCCCATATGTACGATTACTCTCCGCAATGGACATTTGGACATTTACTCTGCATTGAATGACATTTTCGTTGTGTGTATCGAACTCGGCCGACCTCTGCGTGGACACCGAGTTCAAATTAGTGCAAGCTGGTTGTGTAGATATGACATGATTTTTTAGGGGAGGGGGGGGGGTATTAATTGTGGAAAGGTATCGTATCACTCTTAGCTGAAGCCTTATGGTCCATGCCGCTGGCAAGATAGTTACGGTAGGTACTGAATAATGCCATGTGTCCACACTGTCCATTGACCTGACCTGACCTGACCTGGCATGTCCCCAGGACATGGTGCTATACGAGAACGGGGAGAACATCGCGCCCCAGCATCGGACTCTGATCCGACCACACATGTTCCCGTCAGCTGAGCCAAATGAGGAGCTGCGAAAATGGTGAGTGGGTCTGGCACTGACGGGAGATGATTTCTGAGAGTACCGCGAGCTATGTGGCGTCACTCACAACTTAAACGACCCCTCATTGAGTGTACCTTCATTTATCGTAACTCTGCTGATCAGTTCAACACAGTCTCTAAATATTTTTCCGTATAAAATCCACTGTATTCAGGATGCATCGTTTCCTGGAAACGTTTTTATTATGTTTATTGTAGATGTTTCGGTCTGGCCCTGACGAGTAAATGTCACCATCAGACCGGCTGGTAATATTCAAACACTGCTGACCTGTCGTTCAACCTGCGTGCTGACTCTTGGTGTGACCTATATTTCTACATATTCTGTCATTTGACCTATGGTCTAGCCTGTTTATTGACCCGTGAACTGACCCGACTTGTGTCCTTGCCAACCCTGTCCTTTGACCCACGGCCTGACCTGTTGATTGACCCGAGATTTGACCCTTTGATCGCCCGGTGCCTCCAGCCTGCGGATCCTGCCGCACCACCAGAACACGGGCGGGTTCTTCCTGGCAGTGCTGGAGAAGGTGAAGCAGACGCCGCGGGAAGCCGAGGCCGCCCCCGCCCCCGCCGCCGCCCCCGCTGACGGTAGCACTGAGGACTCTGCGCCGCCCAGCCCCACGGCGGCGGCGGGTAAGGGCGAGGGGCCCCCGCCAAAGAAGAAACCGCGCCGCATGAGGGGATACAAGGAGGACCCGTACTTCTTTGTCAAGAAGGGAGACCCGATGCTGGAGGAGCTCGAGTAAGTAAAGCCGGGTCTTCCTTTTGGGGGTCAGAGGAATATCAAAGGGCGGTTGATGATTGATTTTTTCGTGAGCCTTAGAATTATATGGATATTGCGAGCGTATAAACACCATTTGCTCGCTGTCTCCTGTCCCTAAACCAACCACGTGTCTCCACAGGGGCTTCTACGGTCTGAGCAGCGAGTTTGACTGCTCGCTGCTGATGACCCGCTGCGAACAGGGCAAGAAGAAGAACATCTACCTGTGCTCGCCGGCTGTCCGTGACCTGATCGAAGCCAACCAGGAGCGGGTCAAGGTCATCAACTCGGGCGTCAAGGTGTTCGCCAGGTGCGACAACAAGCAGACACCCTGCGGCTTCCGGCTGGCTCAGGAGGTGAGACAGAGGCGATAAGAGGGTCGTTTCGATTTTGTGACGAGAGTTTTGATTAAAATTGTTGTTGGAAATCCCTTTTCTGACAGGTATACACACTACGTTTTTTTTTTTCTTCTTTGGATTCGTGGCATATCGGCCGACTTTGACCTCTGCATGCCCGTATGAGGTGTCAAGCTATTATTTTGTCATAGCGATAAAGTTTGTCGATTGATCTGATTGTGTAAAGACACTGCTCTGTAAATCCACAGTGTCATCCACTGACTGTTCGTCCCAGCTGACATCATTCCCTCCCATGTCGCCAGGGCTCTGACGCGATCCTGCCGTACCTGACCAAGCGGAAGGTGCAGGTGACCGCCGAGGACCTGGGCAAGATCCTGCAGTACGACGACGTCGAGCTGCCGTGCGAGTTCACATTGCTGGACGAGCGGACACAGAGCGCCATGGCAGAGTCCGGTCAGTTGGGGAGACGTCGGGATGGAGAGTAGACACTGCTGCCATCTATTGGACAATGTCGGGAGCGGGGAGCACCACGCATTGAGCTACTACCTAGTTTTCGGGAAATGTGGATTTATTGGAAATCGTGATTCGTGGATGTCTCCAGAGTATTTGAGACTTTTAATTCATCGATCTTTAGTGTCATTGATACTCGCTAGGGAGTAGGGTAAGATTACATTACACCTCACCTAAGTACGTGCGTTATATGCAGTCGCTCGTCGTCGTCCAGCCTCCTCCCTGTGTAATGGACAGGGGTAGTGTCCACATCAGACTCCGTTCAGTCTACAGAAGTGTCTTGCACAAAAAAAAAAAAAAATGCCTAGTAAGGTAAATTGCGAATTACTCAGATCTTTTTAAATTTGATTGTAGGTTACTGAATAACGAAAATGGTTTGCCCGTTTTACCTAGCTAGGTACTTTCGTGCAAGAGACCTCAGTTCTCCTTGCACAGTTTCAGTACCATCCCGTCCGTCTCTGCCGCCAGGTCCCGGCGCCATAGCTCTACTGGTGGACGCCGCCGTGCCGCCCGGTCGCCTGGTAAAGACACACGTGGTCGGATGGAAGGGAGCCACCTCTGTACGCGCCTACGTGCAGCGCAACGAGCGCATCCACTATCTGCGACTCCTGGGAGCCGATACTTCCAAATACGGTGAGTAGGTGATAAACTAGAGGGATACATGTGCGCGGTGCGCTACACAGTGACACACTACACTACGCAGTGTGTATGTACACAGTGTGTATGTGTAGTGTGTATGTGTAGTATGTAGTGTGTATATGTGTAGTATGTAGTGTGTATGTGTAGTGTGTAGTGTGTATGTGACTGTGTATGTGTAGTGTAATGTGTGTATGTATAGTGTGTAGTGTGTACTCAGTGTTAGATATGCATGCGTGTGTGCGACGCGTACTGAGCCAATCGTGCCGGGGAGGCTAATTGATGGGGCGTGGAATGCAGTACTCGTTAGTTCGGCTGCCAGTGGCGAGTCATTCATCCGTCCACCGCTCGGGCTCCAGCTGGCGACCCGCGGAACGGAGAGTGAAAGGAAGTATGACGGGGCGTGGTCTAATTTTGGAATGTCGGGGTGCGGTGCGGGCGGGGCCGGCGTGATCAGACCGGACGGGTGAACATGAGACCGGATAGTCTTTCAGTGGGGCTGTAGCTCAAGTGGTAGAGCGCTCGCTTAGCATGTGAGAGGTACGGGGATCGATACCCCGCAGCTCCAAATGTTTGCCGTTAAAAGAGACAGGTCCCCTTGTTATCAGGGCCTTGGGTCCGCCTACATTTGGCCCAGGCGGTTCCGAGTACGTTGATGAAATATATAAAAACAGCAGTTACGCCGGCAAAAAAACTGCGAAGTGAATAGTGTCGCGTAACGCCCTTGCGTAAAGTTTCAAGTACGTAGCACCATCCACGTGCGAGCGAGGGTTGACAACCCATCCCGATGCTTCTGAGCTTTTCGCTATGTTACAACTAGAGTTGCAAAGTTTCCCTACCGCACTACCGGCATGCCGGTAAATTTTCACTACCGCAGGTTTTTTCGTGGTATCTGGCATGTCTTGCCGGTAGCATGCCGGTATTTTTGATTTTGCACAAAAATAGAAAATATCAGCATTTGCCATTTGGTTTAAACTTTGGTCACTAAGAGGCTATCAAATTATAATAACAGCAATATTAGCCACTGCAAAATACATTTTGTGGCAGAAGTTACATTGCTAAGGGTAGGGATAGCACATGGACCTCGGTGATTCACAGGCTTCGTTATAATTAGGATTGTCAAGAATCTACTGTGGTCAATAAATGGAAGAATACTGATACTTATTCATGCTGCAAAAGCTCGATCAATCAGTAAGTCTAATGGTATGTAATAGGTAAAATACAACAAAATAAAGAAATGTTCATGACAACGTTCCCTAGAGGAAAAGGCAGAATCAAAACACCACAAAACACATTGTTTGGAAACTGGCCTTGAGTCCTGAGATGTGGTCTGAGTGAGATACTCTACAAAGTATTTGACACTGAAAACCCAGCTGAAAAGGCAGGTATTAGGTAGCCCTGAGCCTGACTTTGGTCCCAAAAATTGAATGAAAATCAAATAAACTGGCATTTTGTCTCATCTTTACAAGAAAACACAATATGCATACAAAACAAACAAAGTGGCGCAGAATAACAGGGGAACCAAGGATTGACTTTTTAGATCTTCTCTCCCCTGATGGAAGGATGTAAGATGATGACGTAATATTTTTTCGTATGCCTTTTTGGTTCAATTCCTGAAAGGGAATGCATTTTCTTGTAATGAACTAAACTCACAATGTTGATTACATCAGAATTCAATATCCTTTTGGATCATTTACATCAACAAGTTATCTATGAGGCAGTTTGCTACAATTCAGAAACTTTTTTTTTGCAGCAATTTAATCAGCTGGTTAAAAGTCTCTGTTATTATGGCGCATCTGTTTCGAAATCTTTGATAGTTGATAACCTTGTGTTTGGAGAGGAAGATTCTTCGAGAAAGCGGGTATTATAGCGTTTTTATGCATATTATTTGGTGACTGTTCTCAGGACAAGTGAGTTTTTCACATTTTTCAAATGATTCGTGTCTTATTCATGAGCCAGCAAGCCATGGCAAAAAGGAAAAAAGGTGTTGATCTCGCTTCCTCAGGCACATGGCCGAATCTGTAGGTACTTTTTATGTTGTGGCCATCTAGATTTCAAAATTTGATTTTGGTTGGTAGGTTCCTGCAACATTTTAGGAGAATGTGGAATAGTAGAACACCTCTGAAATGTTAATGTGATTACTGCTAACTTGAACTGTCAAGTCTTCAGAAACAATTCAGTAATTTAAGTTCTTTTTGTCATTGCTTTTTTGATGCTTTTTTCTTACTGCTTTTTGTAGGCAATACCTCTTTGATTACACGTGATATTTTAACAGTTATAGACTGGAACTGAGTTTCAAAATTGTGGGTATTTGTGGGGCCAACTGAGCCAAAATCATCCTGTTCGTAGTTAGGTTGGACATTGGGTGGCTGCTGGGTGGGAACTGGGATGGGTACTGAAATTGCCAAAGTGTGGCATCTCTTGTAGGGGTAAGCTAGAATCAACATTGCAGGTTTTTTTTAGTATGCCGGTAATTTGGTGGTGTTTTTGCTTGGGTCGTGGTAGCATGCCGGTATCCCAGAAAATTTTTGTGGGGCGGGGCGGTGCCGGTAGCAGCCTTTGGAGGAAATTTTGCAACTCTAGTTACAACTTAATACAGACTAGCTTTTAATCAGTTTTCAAATGTAGTTAGGCAATGTAACTGCAAATTTATTGAAGAGGACGATAGTGGTAGTGGAGCATCAGTTATGTTATAAACGTCGATCCGCGATATTATAGCCATCGATTCCTTTTATCACAGGATAGTACGGTGGTCACAGCCGTAAGACAAACAACAACCATCCCCTCAGCGGCCCCCATCTCTGTCATCGATCAGAATGTAATGTAAACGTTCACTTCTGCTGTCTCCCCTCTCAGACACTGAATCGGGCCTCTGGCCTTTTCCCGTCCCCTGATTACGCTTGCCGACTTAGCTATGTACAGTCACCAGCAGTTGCTACCCATCACCCCCGGACGGCGGGGGAGCAAGCTACCACCGCCCCTGCGAGACTAGCGCCGCCATGCGCCAAGAAGTGGAAACACCACGTGACTGAGGCCACGTGAGGGCAGGGTCACGTGATGGAGGGGCGGAGCATAGTAGCTTTTGCGCCCGACACTAACTGAAATGCGGCGCTGTGATTGGGCGCCTTAGCATGAATGAAGCCCCGGCGCCAGAATCAGCCGTTCGCCTTATATGGAAAGTAAGCCTTTGCGTTTCACTGTTCTGTATTGGTTTGAGAGCCACGGCACCATACGAATTGTGAGCCCCTTTGAACGGGTCACCGCCCGAGGCACTGAGGCGACGGCTGTGCCGGGCAAAGTCTAGCCTGGTGGGAGAGGTGGGCCAGGGAAAGTGCGATCGAGCAGCCACTGGAACGTGGATTGGTATTATCCAACCGCGACAAACGATGTCAGCAGCCTGTTCTCGTGTCATAGACAGTGTCTATGACACGAAAAGCTAGACAGACAACGTGGGCAGTGCCCAATCAAAAGCTACTAAACGATCCAGTTAAGAAGTTGGCGAGGTAGCCAAGCCAAATAAAAAGCTTTTAATTCGATTTTGGTTGACAAATGATATACAAGCCTGCTGTGATGGACCAAAAAAGGAGCTGAGCATTTCATACAACTTCTAAAAAGCTCAACGATTTAAAAATTCAAAAGCTAAATGTTAAAATTCAGCCTGGATGTTTAAACTCTGGTCCTGCGCTGGCAGGAAGCTTATATTGCCACTTGCAATTCCACTACGTTGTAATATAACCAAGAGTTCTGTGAGAGCAGCAACTGAAAGCCCCGTTGAGGGGGGAGGAGGGCGGCGCGAAACGGCCCCTCTCTCCTTTTCAGTCGATATCTCCTAAAGTATAGCAAATGTTGCCACCAAACTTTCAAGACCCCTCCGGGAATCATTTTTACACCTTGTGACCAAATTTTTCCAGAGCTCTTTTGAAAGGTTAGTCACAAATGACGTCAGAGGGATGTCATTTTCTGTCATTTTCGACCCAATAAAAGGTTTAGCGGGAAGAGCTGTCACGCTTACCGTTTTGAAGATAACGAAAAATATTCAAGACCAAAAAGATGTAAAATAAACAGCGCTACCAAACTGCTAACTCTTATTTCCAAACAAAAATTGATTTTGACCATCAAAACTATAGAAGTAGGTATAACACCCCGAAAATACCAACAAGTTTCAAAATTAAAACTGACATCTATGTTATATAACTATCTGCTCTAGATATGCCAAACTTAAACTCGATAGCTCCATTTTTAGCAAAGTTATGGCAAAAAAAAACTACTTAAAATTTATTACGTAAAATTTTCAAATTCAATTTTTAGCCGTCACAGAACACACAAAGCAAGCCAAAGACCACCATTGGATTTCCTGTGATGAGCTGCATCGAGTAGATACCCCTTTTATGCAAAATATCAACTTTGAAATTTGACCTTCTATGACCTGACCTTGACCTGAACCTCCACCAGAATGTAATCTAAACTGGCCTTAATAACCGTCTAGCCCACACCATTGAATTTTAAATGTAAAATTGGCCATAAAACATGTATCACACGACCCTAGCATAGTTGGGTTCATATTGTGACCCTTAGCCCGCGCCCAGCTGGGGGGGGGGGGGTGTTTGAACACCCCCCCCCCTTGTGGTTTTTCGCGAATATCTCAAAAACGGCGGCGCGGAGCGCCGCCGTTTTTGGTACACCTTATCATACATCAATTCTACACATGTTGTGAAAATTTCAGACCAAGGTCATTCAAGGTCAGGTCACCAGGTCACTTGAAGTGACCTCACCTCATAAAAAGTTTCAATGTCTGTCAGAGCTACACCGAGTGACCGATCGCTTTGAAACTTTCAGCGATTGCTGAGAGCAATAGCATGTACAAAATGTATATCTCAGAATTTTGATATCGATGACCTAAGGTCAGGTCAATTTTGCGACCTCCCCATTATAAGTCAATGGGAGAAAATTGAAATGCGCCTCTTTTGGACGAAAGACATTATAAACACTCCTAAACA